ATAGGAACACATGGAAAACTATCTTAAAATAGCCTCAGTCAGTCATGTGTATCCTTAGCAACACATCCACTGAGATGTGAAGTATGTATTCATTTTACATATACTTTTCAGACAGTATCATGACTATGGAATATAGTTGTGGAATTTTTTTTTAACAAAAACAATATTTTAGAGTCAAAATCTGTAGGTATATCCCAGAAATAAAGTGAATGCTTATTATCCATATCTTAATAGTTCTCTAATTAATCTCCCAGAGTCTTGCTGGTAGATAGAGTTGCTGCATTTTGCCTTAACGACATGCATCAAAAATAGATAGTTTAGCTGCTTCCAACTTGTGTGTTAATTATTATAGCACAGCAGGATGCCTTCAGAACTGCTGGGTTGTGCTTGATATTTGCTGTGCCTCCACCTCCAACCAAAAAAGACACGATGTACTAACTGCCATTGTACTTCAGAGTGAGTACTGTAGTGGAGTAATTTCTCTTGGTTTTAAAAACTTTTTTCTGGCATCTAGGTTACTGATTTTTGCCAAACATGAGGATGATGTGTAATGCATACTTGTGCAATTGCCTAAGCTTTATCAAATTATAAACTGTGTATATTTTGCTTAATTTTGTGTAGTGGATATGTTTACCATGCCAGACTTTTCTTTCCTAATCTTTAATGATTCTGCTGTTTCTTTACATTTTATTTATTTATTTTCCTTGTGCGCAGAAAAAGAAATACAGTGCTTCAATTTTTGATCTGCAAAGAGAGCCAGGCATGACCCTTGTGCTGATGTAATCTTGTATACAACTAATTCTAATGAGAGAGTATTTATATTCTACTCCGTTGTATGCTAGTTTTGGGTGACTAATGTAATACGTGGTTTTTCAGTGCTTTGATTACTGCAGAGCAAGCCAGCAGGGTGTGAACAGAATTCTTTTCTTGTCTATATTTATAAGAGAAATGCGGAGGAGAGTGAGAGACAGGGATGTGGAAGGTAACTCTATGTCATTCCTAACTCTGTACACTTCTTCTTATTGAGATGATATGGTACTTTTTAAAAGTACCAAGGAAGGAAGGAAACAAAAGGGGGACAGCAAGTCACACTCTCTCAGCGTCAGAGGAAGGCAATGATAAAAACTCCTCTGAACAAATCTTGCCAAGAAAACCATCATAGATTCATCTTAGGGTCACCGTAAATTATAAATGGTTTGAACAAAAGTATGAAAATTGGGACTGGGATAAGCTGATTTTTGATCTCAGAAAAGTTATGATGGTTGTGACCTTAGGGTGTGTTTACATTGTAGAATTAATGTAGTTTCAATTTAACTGCTAAGTTATAAACAAGGATTTTCTGAGCATGCATTTCGAAGTGGGCAAAACAGAAAGTAAAATGTATATTTGGGAAAGGTGGAAATTTTTTCCCATATACTAGGTTTGTGCAGATAAAAACATGAGATATGTATAATGCAATAAATCTTTGACAAAAAGGCACACACCCCCAAAACCTGGGTTGACTTCCACATGAATCAGTTTTTCTGCAAAAGGGACCCAACAGAAAGGCAGTGATGAGCGCTTTCATCCCATTACTCCTCCTTTGCCCAAACTGGAGAAAGAAAAGCAGCATTCCCTTCTTTTTTTTAACCTGAGCAGCATCCAGCAAGAACATGGAGAAGCCATTTGAAGTGCAGACCTTTCAGTATAAGCTTCACAACAACAACAACAACAATTTTTATTGATTAGCCAGTTGGCCTTATCAAAACAGACAGTGCAAACACAACATACAACATACGTCTGGTCCTATTAAAATAGAATACAAATATATATAGGAATTTATCAACTTAAAACCAATGTAGCTTAGCCATAGATATATGCATCAACTATCCTCGTCTCCCTTACACTTCACCCCAATCTGATCTATGTACTCTGTTCTCCTTTTAGCAGTATAAGCTTCACAGCAAAGAGATTGTGGTGGACATTTTTAATAGTGGATTCATCACCACCACACCATTGCAACCTCTCAAATAAACACATTCTCTTGTTCTTTTTAGCTCTTCCTAAGAATTTTCATTCTAGGCATTTTTGAAAGAAGAGGAAAAGAGTTGTTTGTTACATATCCTTAACTTTTACTCTCAACTTATTTATGGATGAAAGCAAAATCCATATTTTTGGCTGTCAAATCTCCCTTGATTTATAAATGTGTATATATTGTGTTTAATGGCACAAAAATCTCAAGTGAGTTTGATTAAAACTGAAACATATCTTGTATACTAGTTTATATTTTTTGTATGTATGTAAAGAGTCAGCAGTAGTGATTATGGCATGGAGGTACTTTCAAGAGAAGACACTTCTCCATCGTACTACCTGTGGCATAGCAGTCATCCATGATGTGCATGACAGTTGTGCCTTATCCACCTTATTTAGAGCTCCAAAAGTAATTAGACTTCCAGGTGAGCAGTGATGACGGCAGGCAGGGGACGCTAGGAGTTCCCAGCATCTCAAACCGCGTCGAGCCGTTGGGTAGAACTTAGGCTCCTCTACCTCAGTGGATTGATACAGAGGGGAATGCAGGGGTCTGGCAGGCACCACCCAAGGGCCCCAAAGATACCTCTCCCCTCAAGGGAGAGGTACCGAGTGGGTCCGGGGTGCCAAGGATGTGTAAACAGCTTTGCAGGAAGCGGATCAAAGAACCGCAGTAGTAGCAGTAATTTAAACAGAATCTGGATAGACATATGTTGGGGGTTCTTTGATTGTGCTTTTTCTGTGTGGGGGTCAGGGTAGATGTTCCATGTGGCCTCTTCCAACTCTATTCTATGATTCTACTTTTATAAAGCACACACATATCTCAATGCTACAAGTTGTTTAACAGTGGCATGAAAGACACTTTCCTCGGGTCCATCTTGTTTTTTCTTCACAGCGTGAGACAGCAGCATAAGACAAAGCAAAAGTCAGGAGTTGAATCATGTGACATTTTCCTTCATCGCCATTTTAAGAGGCCATGCTGTGGTACACATGTAACTGCACATGTAACTAAAAAGTTGAAGTTACTGTATATGAATTACATTATGAATTTGTTAGGTTATTATTATAGTATAACTTCATTTTGCTATTACTATTTTTTCTCTATAAATGAAATGAATTTGAAGGAGATAATTATTTGTAATGGGTTACAACTGTTTAGCAACAATATGCCTTGATCATGTTAGGTCCTTGCAGTTTGAGACTGTGCTTAGAAAGAAAGCTGAGAGTAGATTGGATTGCAGGTTCTTGTAATGTGAGGAATACATTTGCTCTTCGCATATTGTTATGCTCATTTAGCATGATTAAGAGATTCCTTTTCATGTCCCACAATCCCCAGAGTGTGCAAGAGAAATAATCAATACCAGTTCCCTAGCTACAGGTATAAAAAGAAAATCCAAGCTCAAAGCCTTTTACAATAAATACTTACCTGGCAATACGCCACTGCCAATGAAAAGAATGATAGCTAAGAGGTTCTTTGGGCCTGACTGGTATGCTGTATACAAGTATAGTAGATTTCAATCCCCTTTATGGTACAGAGGAGATAGGTTAATAGGACCCTGGTTGATGTGTCAGGAGTAGCCTGAGCTACTTTGGCTTATGTGAGTAGGCCAGGATTATGTTTCTTTTGAAAAAAAAGTGGGTTATTTCCTTGTTGGATTTCATTGCTCTACTTTTTTTAATACTCTGTGAGAATCAGAGTTTAAAGCTGTGGTCCAAAGACTTTTTTGGGCTGATCCTCTGGACAACAACACACACTTCTTCCAATATGGGAAGAAGAAATAGGCTGAGATTTTTTTTTCTTAGAAACTGGCAATTTTCATTAGAATAACTAGAACCTGGATTTACTCTCTAGGAAATTAGAAGGCTTACTAACTGGAAATCCACATATTGGTGAGGCTTAGACTATTTTGCTTTAAGCTGTCATGCTCAATACCCTCTTCATTCAAGCTTGTATCTAAATGATGTGTGGAAACTTGCCTTTAATCTGGTTCCCATTCTGACTTGAGCTTTTATATTATCCAGTCATGAGGACTGGAATATAGGAAGCTGACTTGATGAGTCAGACCATTGGTCTGTCCAGTAAAGTATTGTCTATGTTGACTGACAGGAGCCCTCCAGGGTGTGAGGCAGGGGTCCTTTGAGCCCAACTTGCAGATGCCAGGAATGGAATTTGAGATTTTCTGCTTGCAGAAATTGTTTAACAATCTTATTCACTTGATCAATTTATTTGATACAGCTATATGGTATCATGCAAACTATTTTATATTATAGACTATAGGAATACTTGTTCCATGTATTTAAAATTGGAAATGTCATTTCTTATATGTCTAAGAAGTATACCTCTAAAACAGTGGTTCTCAACCTGTAGATCCCCAGGTGTTCTGCCTACAACTCCCAGAAATACCAGCCAGTTTACCAGCTGTTAGGAATTTTGGGATTGAAGGCCAATACATCTGGGGACCCGCAGGTTGAGAATCACTGCTCTAAAACATGATGTTGAAGTGTAATATGTGCTGTGTGTGTAAAAAGTGCTGTTCTGGTTTTCTCCTAACATCTTGGTTGCTATAGTGCAATGATCTATTTATGAACACACAGAAGATCATTGCTGTAGTCAAAGGAAAATATTTTCTGGTCACAACTTGATGGATCATAATCCTTCTTGAAAAATGGTAGAATATCTAGCAGATCGTTTTGGTTCTCCCAAAAACTGGAATGTAATATTCGATGTCTTTCAGCCATTCTTCCTTGTTATACATTTTTGAAACTGTTCTCCATCAGATTTCTTTGTTTAAAAACCACTTAATGTGTGACTTTGGTTCACAATATATTTGGATGCTTCAGCAGGTTGGCTAAGTCCATGCTGTATAGCTTTTAGTGGGTGTTCAGCCATTTTTCAAACATGTACATACCTTTTGAGTACCTGCCAATTCATGAAGACAGATGTATTTGTTAGGATGCTTTTAAAACAAGACTCCCCTCTTCTTTTCTTTCAGCTGTGAATGAAAGAGAGACACTCTGCAACATACAGTGTTCAGTTTTGTTTGCTTCGAAGAATAGTGAGAACTGAAAATGCCACCTCCTGTGGATATTGTGAAAGTGGCTATAGAATGGCCTGGTGCCTTTCCAAAGCTGATGGAAATTGATCAAGTAAGTGCCTAATTCTCTTCATTTTTATATATTTATGCACGTTTGAATTGGTAGTTTTGAACACTACATACGACTCCAAATGTAACAGCCGTCCCCTTACCTGAACAAAATCTTTGCTATACATTTTGAATGTTTTTTCAGCTTTTTGTTGAACCAATTTTAATGTTCTATATTTTTATGACATGTGAACTTTACAAAGGTATGTTTGAACATTAATGTTGTTTTATAACTAGATGGTTATAATATTTCAGAAGATGTACATTATTGCTTTCTTTCTTGGCTCTATGGCTTGTAATACCTAGTTGGTGTTCAGCTAGCTTAACTGAATGACACCTTTATTTGTTCTGTCTACTGTATAATTACTATATATTTTTGCTTCTAAATATTGCATTTTTTTTCTTCATGGTGCATGTGGAAGTAAACCATAATGCGATGGGGTTGTAAGTTATGGGATGCACAAATCTCAGTTTTAATTATAGTAATTACAGTGATGAACTTCTAAGATATCAGGAGTTGCTAGAACTAGAATGGGAAGCTCTGTAGTTGAATCATACCACAGCACTTCCCGAAGTCCTCTTAGGATCTAGATTATTACTGCCCATCCTAAAGTACCAGTGGGCCCCTCTGAAAAGGAAACTCTAAAAAAGATTTCCTGTTAAGGTTGGGATGTTCATTTAGGAACAAAGTCTTCTAACACTAGCATTCTTTTGCGTGTTCTTGGGGAATTCTTGGCTCATGTTTGATAGTAAGCAATGACTCACAATTGGCATGAAGTGGAGATGATAGATAATGCCAGTTCTAAATAACCAGCTTACATATAGTAATCATTAGCTGTTATCGTAGAATCTTGTTATTGTTGCCATCATAACTGAAGACAGACTTTTATTATATTAGCTGCAGCTCTGTTCCATTGGTGGTAATGTACACGTTGCTGTTTCCTGTAAATAAAAGTCCCATTCTTCCATCTCCTTTTACTTCACAAATAACCTTATAATGAGTGCCGTGATAGTGGTGTACCTCCTCCTTATCCTCCAGTGCTCCTGTATGTTAGTGTTATACTCATGGGGTTCTGTTACCTGTGCAAGAGAATTTCAGAGTCTGGGAGCAGCCACTGAAAAGGCCCTCTCCCTTGTTTTCACCAAAAGTACTTGAGAGAGTGATGGGACAGAGAAAGGTCCTCTCAAGATGATCTTAGTGGCTCATAGAGATACAGTCCTTGAAATCATGATTTTATACTGTTTATTATTTTAAATTGTTTTAAAAATGTTATTAGCATCAATTAAATTAGATTAACCCCCTCCATATACTCCTGTATAAGCCCAGAAATTAGTGAAAAAAAATCAACCCCCGAAACCTGAGGTGGCATCTGCAAGTCAACTTGAGTACTATAGCTTGTTGTTGTTGTTCATTCATTCAGTCGTCTCCGACTCTTCGTGACCTCATGGACCAGCCCACGCCAGAGCTCCCTGCCGGCTGTCACCACCCCCAGCTCCTTCAAGGTCAGTCCAGTCACTTCAAGGATGCCATCCATCCATCTTGCCCTTGGTCGGCCCCTCTTCCTTTTGCCTTCCACTTTCCCCAGCATAATTGTCTTCTCTAGGCTTTGCTGTCTCCTCATGATGTGGCCAAAGTACTTCCAACTTTGTCTCTAGTATCCTTCCCTCCAATGAGCAGTCGGGCTTTATTTCCTGGAGGATGGACTGGTTGGATCTTCTCGCAGTCCAAGGCACTCTCAGAACTTTCCTCCAACACCACAGCTCAAAAGCATCTATCTTCCTTTGCTCAGCCTTCCCTAAGGTCCAGCTCTCACATCCATAGGTTACTACAGGGAATACCATGGCTTTGACTATGCGGATCTTTGTTGCCAGTGTGATGTCTCTACTCTTTACTATTTTATCGAGATTGGACATTGCTCTCCTCCCAAGAAGTAAGCGTCTTCTGATTTCCTGGCCACAGTCTGCGTCTGCAGTAATCTTTGCACCTAGAAATACAAAGTCTGTCACGGCCTCCACATTTTCTCCCTCTATTTCCCAGTTGTCAATCATTCTTGTTGCCATAATCTTGGTTTTTTTTATGTTTAGCTGCAACCCAGCTTTTGCGCTTTCTTCTTTCACCTTGATTAGAAGGCTCCTCAGCTCCTCCTCAGTTTCAGCCATCAAAGTGGTGTCATCTGCATATCTGAGGTTGTTAATGTTTCTTCCAGCAATTTTCACCCCAGCTTTGCATTCATCAAGCCCGCACATCCTCGCATGATGTGTTCTGCATACAAGTTAAAAAGGTTGGGTGAGAGGATGCAGCCTTGCCGTACGCCTTTCCCAATCTTGAACCAGTCTGTTGTTCCGTGGTCAGTTCTTACTGTTGCTACTTGGTCCTTGTACAGATTCCTCAGGAGAGAGACAAGGTGGCTTGGGATGCCCATCCCACCAAGAACTTGCCACAATTTATTATGATCCACACAGTCAAAGGCTTTAGAATAGTCAATGAAGCAGAAGTAGATGTTTTTCTGGAACTCCCTGCCTTTCTCCATTATCCAGCGGATATTGGCAATCTGGTCTCTCGTTCCTCTGCCTTTTCTAAACCCAGCTTGAACATCTGGCAACTCCATGTATTGCTGGAGTCTTCCTTGCAGGATCGTGAGCATTACCTTACTGGCATGAGAAATAAGGGCCACTGTACGGAAGTTTGAGCAGTCTTTCGCATTTCCCTTTTTTGGTATGGGGATATAAGTTGATTTTTTCCAGTCTGATGGCCATTCTTGTGTTTTCCATATTTGTTGGCATATGGCATGCATCACCTTGACAGCATCATCTTTTAAGATTTTAAACAGTTCAGCTGGGATCCCGTCGTCTCCTGCTGCCTTGTTGTTAGCAATGCTTCTTAAGGCCCATTCAACCTCACTCCTCAGGATGTCTGGTTCTAATTCGTTCACCACACCGTCAAAACTATCCTCAATATTATTATCCTTCCTATACAGATCTTCTGTATAGTCTCACCACCTTCTCTTGATCTCTTCAGCTTCTGTTAGGTCTCTGCCATCTTTGTTTCTTATCATACCAATTTTTGCCTGAAATTTACCTCCAATGTTTCTAATTTTCTGGAAGAGGTCTCTTGTCCTTCCTATTCTGTTGTCTTCTTCCACTTCCATGCATTGCTTATTTAAAAATAGTTCCTTATCTCTTCTGGCTAACCTCTGGAATTGCACATTTAACTGGGCATATCTCCCTTATCCCTGTTTCCTTTTGCTTTCCTCCTTTCTTGGGCTACTTCCAGTGTCTCAGCAGACAACCATTTTGCCTTCTTGGTTTTCTTTTTCTTTGGGACGTACTTTGTTGCCACCTCCTGAACAATGTCGCGGACTTCTGTCCATAGTTCTTCTGGGACTCTGTTTACTAAATCTAGTCTTCAAATCTAGTCCTTCAAAACTATAGCTTAACTTTCATTAAAGAAAGCAACCATCCCTTCTCTGAGTGGAAAGCAACCATCCCTTCTCACAGGCACGTCTGGCGGGGACGAGGGATAGGGCCTTCTCGGTGGTGGCCCCCCGGCTGTGGAACACCCTCCCTGCAGACATCAGACAGGCGCCCTCCCTTATGTCATTCCGCAAGAGCCTAAAGACATGGTTATTTGAGAAGGCGTTTGACTAAGTGCTACAACAATTGGCAATGACGACTGGAACGGAATATGGATTACGAGATTGGTTTATGATTCTAAGATGAGACGGCGCGGATGATTTAGTGTAATTGTATTATTGTTGTATTATTGATAGTTGTTGTTTATTGCTTATTGTAAACTGTTTTTATATGTTGTACCCCGCCGTGAGTCGCCCTAGGGCTGAGAACGGCAGTCAACAAATGCAGTAAATAAATAAATAAATAAATAAGAGGCAAGCACTTAGCCCTACCTGAAGGAATCTAAAAGAAGCACTGACTCCCTCTACTCTCTTCACCTTGGCCCTGCTTTTGGGCTTGTTGAATGCATGGGTGCATACATAGTATCGGTAGTCATGAGTGGCTTGCAGGCTAATGTGGCATCTGTGTTTTCCCCTCTCTACAGATGATCCTCAGTTTATCCATGGGTCATATAAAAATACTTAATTTAGGGCCCAAAACCTGACCTCAACTTTGAAGTGGGAATGGCTTGTACATGAGGATTTAGGGTAAATAATAATAATAATAATAATAATAATAATAATAATAAAATTTGATCACATTCTGAATAAAATAATTACAGCTGGAAATTTGTAGAATATCTGTACCTATGCATTTTCTTATTCATCTAATACCTTGGTCTACAACTTGCTTTGGCTGGGTACACATGGGAATTGGCTTGTTTGCATCTTCCTAATCAACCCATGGGATAAATTTGACTGAGTAGTGCAGGAGTTGTGAAAATAGGAAGCTGCCTTATATGAGATCATGGTATTTCTTTCCTCTTAGCCAATACTGTTCCTTCTTACTGGAGTTGCAGAAATCCTTCCAAGTCTTAGGTAGAGGTCTTTCCATCACCTGCTGCTGAAGATTAGATGCTGAACCTTAGAAGGTTTTGCATCTAAAACATTGCTCTTTCCAGCATGGGCACCTTCACATTGGAATAGGGATTTCAGTCCATGTCCCCATGTCTACCATTCTTGGTCCTAATAACTGCATACCCATTGCTTTTAAAAGTTCTGTCAACCCATGGTTTTGATAGGTACAGCTTATCCCATCACTGCAGCGTTGTATTGAGCAAAACTCCTGCAACTTTATAGTGGGTAAAGGCTTCAAAAATGTTGCTTTTGAGACAAGTTGACTAGAATGACGATTCAGTCCAGGATTTCGAGGACTGGCCCCCAAGTCTTTTGGGAATGTCTATTAAGTTGCCAAGCATGAGTGGAAGGCCTTACCTGTGGTCTCTATCCTTGTGGAATGTTCTACTGTGGGATTTATTCCTACCTCCCCCCTTTGTTTTAAATGAGGCCTGGTTTAGTTATTTATTTTGGGAACCAGTCTGAAGCAGCTTTG